GCGAGCCGCAGTGTCCGCTCCCGCCCGCTGAGGCGGCTGGGCCCCGCCGGGAGTCACTCCGGAGCGAGCCGGGCCGGGCGCTCGCAGGTGCCGCCGGGCGCGCACAGAGGCGGGGGCTGCTGTTGCTGTTTTATTCCGCTCATCACAAGCTGACCCCGGCGGCGGCGGCTCCGCCAATAAATAACAATAACTTAGTGCGGCTCGTTACAGGCTCGTCCGACAGCGCGTCCCCGCCCGCCTTCCTCCCCGCCCGCGTCCGGCAGTCATGCGGGGCGCCTCCTCGCCCCCAGGCAGGTCGGGGTGCCCGTGGTCCCGGGGCAGGGGCTGCTCCGAGCACACACGGGCCGAGGGACGGTGCTGGTCCCGCCCCGCCCCGAGGAAGACACAAGCCCCCCTGCTCCCCCTTAGATTTTGTTCCCAAAAGACAAGACGATAAATCGCCCGCCCGCTCGGGCAGGGCCTGGGGGCTCGTTCTCGGGCATCCACCGGCGTTCGGACAGTTTTTTGCTTTGCAAAAAAGACAAAACAAACAAACGAAACATCAACATGAACATCCGCAGCCCGGGTCCTGGGGCGTGCTGGCCGTCGGGGCGCGCTTTGTTTCGCTGTTGCTCTTGGTTTTTAAATAACAATAAGTTAAAACCCGAGCTCGTCTGGCGCTCGGGGCCGGAAGCCGGGCGTGTCTCATGCAGGGAGCAGGAGCATGCGAAAGTCCAAGTCCGCGAAGGGAGCCTCGCCTCACGTCTCCACCGGGCTGGGCACCATGCTGTTGGGGGTGTCGGGTAGCTGCGAGGACAGGGAGGTCACATCGCTGCCGGAGGAGTTGCCCAAGGAGCCGGATTCGGAGAAGGAGACCTGGGGGAGCAGCGGGGACACGGGTCAGGCCCGCTCCAGGGCGGGCCGGGGCTGGGGGGCACGTGCGGCAGCTGCCGCGTGTTAACCACAGCGGTTCCTGTCCGCTCCAGGGGTGACGCCTTTCCTAGCGCTGCCCGGACGGGGAGGGGAGGGGTGGGGGCTGCTCGGCTTTCTAGAGCGGGCCTCCGGCTCTCTCCGGAGCCCTTCCCTGCCTCTCGGACAAGCGCTCACCCCACAACGCGCTGCCAGGCAGCGGCTCTGCTGGCGACAGCTCCCGCCCACCTCCCACTTCAGCACCGAGGTGGGGCCGGGCGCTCCAGGGAACCGAGCACGGGGCCGCGGGGACCCAGGCGCCCTCGGGGGAGCGCGGCTCTAAGGCTTGGGCAGAGGCGCGGCGGTCCCCGGCCGCGGATCGCAGAGCAAGCAGCGGCCCAGGGCAGCCGCGCAGTGCGGGCGGGCTGATGTAGGGGCCCGTGGTTCATCCCTGGCGCTCCCGGTGCTGGGAAATGCCCAGTTAATGACGCCCGCAGCCACCGCCTCCCATGGACTGAACACCACCCTCCTCTCGTTGTTGCTGGTCCTCTCCCAGCTCGGGCCTGGCCGGGGCGGCGGGGTCACCGCTCCGAGGAGCAGCCCGGGGCCCGATCTTGCGGCCCTTTGCGCCGCTCAAGCCAGGGGAGCCAGGGCAGTGTGAGCCGGGCCGGGCCGGGCCGGGAGGGGCTCGCTGCCTAGGGGGGCCTGGGGACAGTCGAGCAGGCCCCGGGGAGGGTTTAGGCCGATGGGGCAGCCGGGAAGCGGCGTGTCCCTCTCCCCCCGGCGGGGTGACTGCTTTGCTC